ACCCACCCACCCTCTATTCCTGGACACCGCAGTGGAATTTTGCTTTCTTCTCCAGCTTTCTTCTGCTTTCTGTCGAATTACTGCTCCGCCTTTGTATCAAAGCTCCGCAGTTCTCCGTTTGTTGCAGTTTCTAAACATTTTCTTCCTTTTACGGTAACAGATTGTGGAAGATTAGATCACTAACTCCGACTAAAACCCAAAGTGAGGTTGAGTTAAAAGCAGAACAAGGTATAATCAGAGCCCACAGAGTGACCAGAATCAAACTTACTCACACCCATTGCTTATTAAATACAAATGTGCCTATAATTCAACTTCCTGTAGAGAATGTGCTTTTGTAGACCTCCGCCCTTCCATTAGGAACATGTTTATGACCCATTGGTTCTTGACTGATATATTTAGCCAATATACATTAGACATGTAAGATGCGGAAAAATTCGGTTTGGTGTGTGTGTGTAAGCTAGTTTGTGTCCTTCCGTTACCCTTAGGAGAACTATGGGGAGGAAAAGCCCTAACCCCATAGTTCTCCTTTAAGCCTCTCGAAGAGGTCTTCGTAAAAAATAAATAATTAAATAACAAACATTGAGGATACATTTATGTTTTATAGATGTTACATTATAATATTAATAGTTATATTGTCTTTGTGCGTAACAGACATTTTCATAAAGGGAAGAATAAGGACAAAGTAGGCTTTCCTATTACATGTCCACTGGGTGTGTCCGCCACCACAACTGTCATTCAATCCCAATCTAAGAAATTGGGCAATGATCGTGTCTAGAGCTATATGGCTTCAGTTTAGGGTCCGTGCCAAGTATTGCGCAACATTTCGGATGTTCATCATAAGGAGAACAAGTAACAATGTGGTAATGCCAGCTGCCTTGTGCTCCCGTGTATATTCTAGGCGTCCAGAGGGAGAGCAGTCAAGGAGCAGACCAATCGTTACAACCTTGTATCCCCAGCCACACATTGTTGATGGAGTTAGAACCCCCGGCAGTTTTTTATGTATGTCTCAGTCCCCGCTGTGAAGATTCACCCGTCTCTTCTTGCCCTGTTGGCCATTGTCAGTGGGAGTGAAAGTGATGGAAAATCCAAAATGATACGGTTGTCACCAGAACAGAGGACGAGGGAAACCCTTCCAATGGGGGAACGTTGTTCCGGATGACAGCCGTGTAAGAGAAACATAGAACCGTAACATAGAAGAGTGACGGCAACAAAAAAAGACCGAGTGGTCCATCAAAACTGCCACTTGTTTTATTTTTTCATCTTTTTCATTTATTTTATTTATTTATTTTTTTATTGTTCTTTTTTTTTCTTTGTTAAACCGTTTTGTCTGAGTATAGATCTATGTTTGTCCCAAGCACGTTTAAATTTACTTATCGTCGACTGACTCACTACCTCTGCTGGAAGTCTGTTCCAAGTATCAACTATTCTTTGGGTAAAGTAATTCTTTCTAAGGGAAATATTTAAAAAAAAACATTGGTCCCAACTGCGTTTTATTTTTTCCAAATTGTTTTCCATCATTTTCTTTTTTTTACAAGAATTTGTTATAAAACTTTTTTTCTGCATGCTTTCACTCACTTTCCTACTGCATCAAACCTTTATAATTTGTAAGATAGATAGATAGATAGATAGATAGATAGATAGATAGATAGATAATAAGGGAAATATTTAAAAAAAAACATTGGTCCCAACTGCGTTTTATTTTTTCCAAATTGTTTTCCATCATTTTCTTTTTTTTACAAGAATTTGTTATAAAACTTTTTTTCTGCATGCTTTCACTCACTTTCCTACTGCATCAAACCTTTATAATTTGTAAGATAGATAGATAGATAGATAGATAGATAGATAGATAGATAGATAGATAGATAGATAGATAGACAGACAGACAGACAGACAGGCAGACAGGCAGACAGGCAGGCAGACAGACAGACAGACAGACAGACAGAGATAGATAGATAGATAGATAGATAGATAGATAGATAGATAGATAGATAGATAGATAGATAGATAGATAGATAGATAGATAGATCAATGGATAGAGAGAGAGAGATCTATGGATAGAGAAAGAGAGATCGATGAATGGAGAGAGAGAGAGATCTTTGGATAGAGAGAGAGAGAGAGAGAGAGAGAGAGATCGTTGGATAGAGAGAGAGAGAGAGATGGATAGATAGATAGAGAAAGAGAGATCGATGAATAGAGAGAGAGAGATCGTTGGATAGAGAGAGAGAGATGAATAGATAGATATAGAGAGAGAGATCGATGGATAGATAGAGAAAGAGAGATCGATGGATAGATAGAGTAAGAGAGATCGATGGATAGATAGATGAGAGCGAGAGTAGATAGATAGATAGATAGATAGATAGATAGATAGATAGATAGATAGATAGATAGATAGACAGCCGCTTGTAATCTCCATTTGAAGGGCATGTGGCTGAGTAACAACGTAATTGAACAATTAGGACACAAGGACAGGGCGTTGTCACCCTATAACAGGAAGAGTGTCGGCATCTTCAGTCATTGGTAAACGCGTCGTCGATGATGGGTTTTTGGGTGTAAGTGTTTTTTTTAGGCCAATGGCAGGGATCTCAAGTCTCCCTGATGTTCAGGGAGTCTCCCTCTTTTGGACAGCAGTTCCCTGATGTCTGCGAGAGAGGCATTTTCTCCCTGAAAGGTTTACTCTGAGTAAAACTTTCCGGTAAGATATCAGTGGGTAAAGTTTCAGAGTGAGGCTTGCCTCCTGGAGAAGGTCATGTGATCTCTAGAGTAGCCTCAGAACGAGGCTTGCCTCCTGGAGGAAGGTCATGTGATCTCTAGAGTCGCCCCAGAACGAGGCTTGGCTCTCAGAAGGAAGAAGCTACTTGCTGCACAGAGAGCACTACTATTGAGAGCAGGTACAGGCACTGCTGCAGGGTTGAGAGAGTACTGTTATATGTCCTGGTTGACTAAGAGAGAGAGAGAGAGAGAGAGAGAGAGATCGTTGGATAGAGAGAGAGAGAGAGATGGATAGATAGATAGAGAAAGAG